ACTGAAGGCACAACCTTGGTGTTACTAACATCATGCTCTGACCAAACGAGCTAACAGGGGCAAGAAATAGCCTCAAAACATTGACAGGTCCTCTGAGGCAATGGGATTTTCTTGGTATGTATTTCTTCAAAATTGAGAACCACATTTTCAAAATCTTAATGAGCACTAGGAGTCCTTGCCTGACACAGGAACTGCTGGCATAAAAACATCTCACCAATTCCATATTCAAGGTTTTGTAACTCAGCTATGTCAGAACTGAACTGGAAATAATCTGAAGAAAAAGTTACTAAAAAAAAGCATTTTTGCAATATTTTTAAAATGTGGTTTGGCACTGCTTAAACCGGCATTCTGTATCAAATGAAACTCTGCCCTCATTAAAAAAGTACTGTAATCATCAATCATATAATTATCAAATGGTTTGGGTTGGAAGGGACCTGGAAGATCACCTAGTTCCAACACCCTACCATGGGCTAAGACACCTTCCATTAGACCAGGTTGCTCAAAGCCCCATCCAGCCTGGCCTTGAGCACCCCCAGGGGTGGGACATTCACAATTTCTTTGAACAACTGTTCCAGTGTCTCACCACCCTCACAGCAAGCAATTTCCTCTTAATATCTAACCTAAACTATTCTCTTCCAGTTTAAAGCCATTTCCCCTTGCCCTATCACTACAGGTCCTTGTAAAAAGTCCATCTCCATTTTTCTTGTAGCTCTCTCTGGTTACTGGGATGTTCCTCTACGGTCTGTCTGAAGCCTTCTCCAGGCTGAACAGCCCCTACCCTCTCAGCTTGTCTAGATGATCACGACTAGGATCAGATTAAAAATCTGCTTAAGGAAATTAATTTCTTATTATCTATCTCCTACCAAACTGAAATGCGCTCTCTATACTGTCTAAAAGAAATCAAAATTGTTGGAAGTTTTCTGAACAAGTCACAGTTCTTACTAAGGCTTCAGTGATACGCAAGCAGATGCTTCACGTGCGTCCTGCATGTCAGAAGGTCACCAATTATCTTCTGCTGTGACAATCATGCGAATTCTAGAATTGCATCTATCCATCTTTTTAAACAGCCATATGGCATGGAATCAGCCATCTCTTCTCCTCACCAAAGTCCTGCTCAAGGCTGTAAAAAGCTCTGGACTGCTCCCCTGGAACAACTCTGCCATGCTATGCAGAGAGTCTGTGGTTCAAGTCAAATAATTTGGAAATGCAAAAAAATTCTACCTAAAGACTCAATAGAAACAATGGAAATAAAAAACAAATGCCCTTTTCAGCATCAACTTCCAAACTGCATTTCAGATTCCTCCATTAAACTGACGCCTGAAAGCCCTAGAAGACTATGACATTTCCAGGGCCTTCCAATGCAGTTCTTTGGAACAAACAGCAAAACAATTGATTACTTAGTCCTTTGCTCATAAACCTTCAGTCCCTTCCTTTCAGTCAAATTATAGGCATACACAAATGAAATAAGTAAAATAAAAAACCTTTGCTAGATCTTTACAAAGGGCTATGTGAAGCCATGAGCAAAACAGTCTCTGAGTCCATGAGCAGCAGCATCAGGTCTCAATGGCAAACACATGGCCCTGATGAAGTTAATGACAAACCTTTCACTGACTCCTGTGAATGTGACTTTATACCTGTGCTACATAAAATAATTCTACTAATAAAAACCAGGTAGCTTCATAGGCATTTTTTAAGCATCAAAGGCTATGTCTACAATATGGACCACAGGATGGTGCTGAGGACCTAAGGTCCAAACCACACACCTTTCAAGAGGTTTTTATTTCACTCTAGCCTAGTCCTGTGGCTTTAATGTCTAACAGACTGCACTTCTACAGCACATCTTCCAATTTGGTTTCATTTGAAAGGAGTCCAACCAATGATCTCCGGGACTGCCACACATCGCATACAATAAGTGGGGAAAATGGAGACGCATTCCCGAAGCATACTCCTGATCTGACCTAACACACTAATGCAGATGCATCCAAGGAGCTTAGAATATGTCTGTGCAATAAAATCTCTAAAATTAAGGAGTACTGAGGCCCCCATGAAGAGAGTTAATAGGTAATAGACTCACAGCCTTCAATGTGTTCACACAGATGCAGCGACGTACAGTGAAGGTGTTTTACAGCAGCAAGCACTGTGTGTCTGATTTCAGCTATGTTTACTTCCCACCTGCTTGACCTTGTTATCTTCAGGACTTTCATTCAATTAGCCCTCCACATTTAGAAAGCTTTTCCATGTAGCTGAATATTTTATTTTCAGAAGATTTTGTTTAATCTTTACCATCTATCCTATTGACAAGGGTCTCCTTTCCCTTGACAGCTTTGCAAAGTACACATTATTGTATTAAAAAGATCATCTGATGTCTCATATGCTTGTGATAAACCAGGCTTCTTGCCCTCTTCACTTGGGCTCTCCCTTCCCCTCCCAGTTTTATACTAGTCAAAAAGGATTTACTTCTCTTCTAAAAAATAATATATAAATAAATACACTGTGAATCACAAACATTAAATACTTAATTTGAACCAGCAGAAAGACCAGCTACCGGAATTCTACAGTGGTCTGTTAGCTCGTATGTCTCTGCATGTGCATATTGAAGGAAACAGCAGAAATAATACTTTACAATTTGATGAACAACATATGACACAAAACATCTAGACTCCCAAAAAAAGGGTTACAAACTTATGAAAATGTAGAATTCTGCCCTCTCCAAGAAAAAAATCCTACACATTCCTTACTTGCACAGATACTAAACCATCATCATTAAGGCCTGACATATAAATAAACTGGATTAAGGAAGAATATAGTCATTAAGGATTAAACTGAAATATGGGTGATAAAAAGGGACATTTTCTGACAACATGGTGGAGGTCTAAACAAAAAGGATGATGCTGTACCATCTGCTTCCAGGCAGACTCCTCACCTCATTTCAACTACAAGCGAGAAGGAGCCTGTGAACTTAATTTAAACTGGAAAGAGAGAAAAAAGAGAAGGGGGAAAAATTCTTCAGACCATGAGAATCAAACATGCCACTATCTCAGTGCAAGCTGCAGATTTGGAGAATTATCTCTAAAAATTACAAGAAACAATCATATCATCGGAATAACAAAGTAAAAAGACTACGCTCTCAACAGGTGCAACAGCAAAGCAACACCAGGTTGCAAAATATGCATTAAATTTTTAAAAAGTGAGTGAAACTGTTGAAAGTATTGGTCTCATAATAAAGTAATGCATACAACCCATTTCAGTAATTCCCATTTCTGAAAATCAGATTCTTGACTTGACAAATAGCCCATTCCATACTGAATGCTCCACTGATACTGCCTATTCTTTCTTCCCCATAGAAATACAAAATTTCTGACAATGAGTACTTGGAAGAGAAACCTTTTTAACATTTCAGGTTGCTGACTTTTCCCTTTTCCCCAAACTCTTCAACCATCCCTATTCACCTGTCACACATTCCAAACTCAGAGATGGCTTGACTGTTATAAATTAACTACTCTCATAAACCAGGTATTTTTGCTGTTTCCCAGAGATTGCACCCAAGGTGAGGATCAAGCAAGCAACACTCAGCGTCCAGATATGCAAGGTTCAAGGCAGACGGGAGGAAGCAGACAGAAACTGACCCACATTTTACTGCATTTGGCATTTGCCTTCCCCCAGCTGCTTATGAGGAAGATCACCAGCATAGACACATTTCAAAAAGCCACTTTTTTAATGGCAGTAAGCTTCCTCATCTACCTGAAAAGTGCCTGACTTAAAAACTACAGGTATAAACCACCCATCTAGTACACAGTGGTCTGTTTTCTCAAAAAAAATATCCTGTGGAACATTCACTGGAAAATGCAATAGAACTAGTTCTTAAAGTGACTGCTAAAGCCAGCTTTCCTGTGTTTAGTGGCTAATACTCTGGGGAACCTTAGCTGTAGTTTTCAGTACCTTCCTGTGCTGTTTGAGCTTTTGCAAGCATATACCTTTATAACTCTTCTAACAGCTATGCAAAAGAACTGAACAAAATGGACGGGGAAAGGACCGGACTGACGAGAGGAAAGAGATTACGGAAGGAAATAAGGGTTTGAAATTGAGATGGTGGGGGTGGATTTGAAACAGAAGTTTAAAGAAAAATGTTGAGCAGGGAAAGGGAACTGGAAAAGGGAAGTCAGAAATGTTAACTTATGATGAAGCACACACCTTTTTGTCATCTAATATTCAATCCCATTTTCCCAGTGACACCCCATATGAAAGCCCATATACAAGAGAAAAAACATGCAGAGGAGAGGTGCACCAGGCTCATTAGTTGTAAACATCAGTGAGAACACAAAATTTCAAATATCTATGAATGAAATACTTCCATTGCCAAAGAAAAAAAACACACTTCTGATAGACACTTCTGAAGACCAAATGGGGTCAGCAAAAGCGGAAACTTTTAATGAAATATATTACCAGTCACTACAAATATATGAGGCATGAAAATGACTGTGAGTGGAAAAAGTAAGTTCTAAGTGCAAGTATCCTGCTGTTCATCTGTGCTCTTTCTCACTGGATTTAAGGAGAATATGCATGTTTCCAGGCAATGTAGAACAAAAGCATTTTGGTTTTTAAACTTTATCTCGGTGCACCCTACATCTGAGTCTTATCACCCTCTGATGTCCCATAGTGCCCCTTTATAACCTTTGTTACTCAATTACTGAACAAGTTATCTCATTGTTACTCTCTTTTGAAGGAAGACTTGAGCCTCTTTTCATGCTGATAAGATAGGCATAAATATTCACTCGAAGCAAACATTCAATTGTAAAGTGTCTTGAGCAAACTACCAGAGTCTAAAGGTAGGAAGCGGTGATCAACTTCTTTGCTCTCTTAACCCTTTAGTCAATCCACCAGAACAAAGAGACACAGAAGACAGATGCTTTTCTTACAAATGAAATTACTGTTCTCTAAAGGAATGGACTTTATAACATACTTTACAACACAGCAAATAAATCTGGAAGTGAAATACCTACCCATTTTCTGGGCCGGCCTCTAGGTCGCTTTTCACCAGTGGCTTCTGCTTTCTGTAAAAGAAACACAACATATTTTATACCTCAGCATTACAGCCTCAGTAACTAGGAGCTCCTTTCCTGTAACATTAGCTACAATCGTACCTCTTGGGTGGCACCGGGCCCCCCAGCCAAGCCGTGTGCTTTCTGGCAGAACGTGTGACTAGGCTGCTTTTTCTGACATTTCCTCGGCATTGCCTCCCCTGCAGCCAAGGGTGTCCCCAGCCCTGGTCCACGTGTGTCCAGGGGCACTGAGGAGTGTGACCACACAGCCCCAGCTGCTCGGCCCTGATGGTGCAGACACAGGGCAACTGGGAAACCCGAGAACCTCCAAGAACATCAAATCTAGTCTTTCACATGCCGTCAAAAAGTACTTGAAGATACTAAATCAAAAATACAGCCTGTTTCAAGTTGGATCAAAGCAGTTTACAGCAGCTACAATTCCTTTTTCAGTCTCATTATGTTCAGGCATGAAATTAATTAGCACAGAATATCACCATGAGCATGTCTGTGTTCTTACTGGGAAACAATTTCTCTACTTTTCACATGAAGTTTTCCAGCTAAAAGCGTATCTTTAGGCTGTAAGTAAACCTTTTATGGCCCAAAACACACCTTTCCTTTCCAGGTTTAAGGAAACAATGTGAAAGAGGGCCTAAAAGTGACAGCTATATTTATGTAAGCCCAGCAGTTGCTCCTGGAGCTCAGCTTAAAGGAAATACGGGTCCTTTTATAGGCTCTTCCACTAATTCCACTGTGTGACACTGTGAATACTACTACTACTAACAGTACTCACGTAGTACACTAAAAAACTTACAGAGTTTAAAATGAAAATTCCAGGTTATTGTCTCTAGCTAGGCTATGCTCATCCATACACTTCACCAGGTAAATAATTCTGTTCCACTCAGGATTTTGCTACCACCAGGGCAGGACTGGCCAGATACAGGGTCGTCAAGAAAGAAGAATTTTAATACACGTGAATTGTATTCCTTTGTTTTTTTCCCCGAAGTTAATGGTATGTGTATTTGATTTGCCCTTAGAAATCAACTGTGCCATTAAATAAATCACTTGCTGGTCAATCACTGTAACATATACTGTAACCCAATGCTGTGTAAATCGGATCTCTCTAAAAGAGAACTTGAGCTGAGGAACTAGTGGAGGAATCTTTACAAAAAAACCTGCCCTGTGAGTTAAATGCAATTATTTTGAAATAAATACCTCACAATAAGAAAGCTGTGAAAAATAAAATTCACACTCCTGAAGGGCAAAATTATCACTCAGACTTGTTAAAAGAGTAAACTTGAGCTTTAATAGTTTATACCGGTGTTACATGTAAGGTGAAACCCTCTTAAGACAATACTTGTTAAAATGCATTTACTGTATCCTGTAGCTGTCTATTTCAGAGTTTTGTTTCCTTTAAGCATTCAATTTCTTTAAAACTTGTAACCTGAAGGATGCAAAAAAACAGATATGGTTTAGTGTTGATAAGCTGTAGCTCCCTGCTTCTGTGTTTACTTCATGAAACACTGGGCATAAATCTTAAAAAGAAATACCAGTTATAATTGGTCTTAACAAATCAACACTTGACATGTTATCAGAGCACTAAGGCTGTTTATTTTCTTGTGTGTGTTACTGCATCTCAAGGAAAGATCCTTTTCCAAAAATCTACTAAAAATAATTAACTTTTTGAATACAAAACTACTTCAGTCTAATAATTAAAGTCCATACAAACCTGACACAAATTTTAACTACATACAATGAACATGAGAGATTTCTTTCAATTACTAATCTTTGCTTCCTGCCATAAACTCACACAGGGTGGCTGCTTCCCATGCGGCTCAGCAGCGCTGAGCTCCACCACCACCCACCGTCCCTGTCAGAAGTGGCCAGTGCTCCTGCTGGCTAGTTTGGCTAATGGTTTGTCAAGTGCTTGGGGACCTTGCAGATTGAAAGGCACTATATTTCTGCAGTATATGACTTCAACCTCATGTTAGAAGAAAAACATTTCCATAGCTCTTATCAAAACCAAATCTTTCACAGAGGTGAGCTGAGCAAACAGCCAGGCATGCCAAAGGTGATGTTTTGGTACAGAGAGATTCTGTAAGTAAATAGCAAGGTTTTCACAGATTAAACTGCAGAAAATTAATGACAAGAACCTCCAAACTGGAAGTTTTAATCGCCTTTTCAAGAGAAGAGAAAGACAAAACACTTTGAGAACAAACGAAAGGAGCAGTAGCAGCACAGTGGCAACGATAAATACATTAACTTCAGGAAAATATTCCACTTCCTTCCCTCTTTCTTCAGCCTGCATTTTGCTAAAATGCTGTATTTTAGCAAATTGCTGTATTTTCTCCAACAGCATAAGACTTTCTTTTAATTGAAGCCTTGAAGAAATGCTGTACTGTGTGTAAGACAGGTAATCCATTGGTTCTCCACAAAAGCACTAATACACTGCCTTTCCTCTTCAATAGGTTTCTGCACCATCAGAACACTCCAGTCTGTTGGCTCTCGGCTTTAATTGAAGTGCTGCCTCTGAAGCAAGGGGCAAATCCTGACAGAGCTCCAGGCCACCCAGAGGTGGTGTTTGGTCAGGGGGTTTTTAACATGTGGTGCTACTATGCTATGAGGCATGACCTTGCTTTTTACAGCTGAAACATTAAATAATCGAAGTTTAAACAAGGGTCAGGTATGTTATCAAACACAAAGTGTATTTCATTAAAAATATGAAATTTCTTATAAACAATATGAACACATCATTTTTGCAATGTCACGTTTTAGGAACAGAACTAGACTTATATTTAAAAGCATGATCCATACGGGAAATGGTTTTTATTTATCACAAGTGAGAAAGATCATAATTCAGTTACTGCTATTGGTAACAGTCCCCAGGAAGATTTGCAATCCACTCAAGCCCTGTACCACAGGGCCATCCAACCCTGCTTCCAAACAGCTTCTCTCAGCAACTCTAGGACTTGACTGCCCATGATCTCTGCCTCCTTATTGCAAAAATGCACTGTACCCAGACAGAAACCAAGGCTGTACTACTGAAAGCAACTAACAAGACAAGACAAATATAAATAATTGAATGGCTATAAAGTGCTCCTTGGGCATCTATGTATTGTCAAGGAAGACCTCAAATGCATCAGAATCCAGATTTGAAGAATTCTATCTACTTTGCAAAATGATCTGCTGGATATCTCAGATAAAATGTGTCAGAGCTGTAAGTCAGGTAAAATAAGTGATAGTTCTCAGGAGGAAGATCACTGTTGTCAAACAGAGTCAAAAGACCTAGTCCAGGAATGCGTCCCTCTCAAAAAAACCACACAGTTATTTAGTCAAAATATACTCCTAAAAAAACCTTAGGCATTGACTAAGTACAAAAACATCACACTTTCCATGTCCTGTTTTATCCATTTTAATGCTAAACAAAAATCAGTCTTCTGCTTTTCCTATCTTGGTCAAAACATTTGATTTTGAGGTCTCTTGTTTTTTCAGTGCAATAACCATGATACAATCACCTGATAAATTTGATCCTGTTTTCCTTTAAGCTTGTAATGGCTGATGTAGATGAAAATGAATGAAGCATGGAGAAGCCAACTAGATTTTCATGACCCAATTCAGGGCAGAGTCCTGATCACATGCACTTTTCTGGTTTGTTTTTGTTTGTTTGTTTTTTTTTTTTTTATTTTTTTTATTTTACCTTTGGACTAAAAAACCCAGGGGCATGCCTTTTCTACATACCAAATCTGGCCATGTAAAGTAGGGACAATAGCAAGTGTAGTCACACACAGGATCACCAACTCTAGTTTTCAGAGGATGATGCATCAAGCTCTGTAGGCATTTTTAGTCAATCTCACTACACCAACAACTACAATAAAATTCAACATATTTTAGCTGAAGGTAAATTTTACTAGAGAATTTTTACCATTGTATACTCCTGGGACATCCCTTGACAATTCCTTTAGTGACAATCATATAGTAGCTACTATTCTTTTTTCTAATGTCATAAATGTGTTTCCTGCTCCCAAACAGGAAAGTATTTATGCCTACACAGTATTTTTGTCAAGCCAAACCGTAGGAACTAAAAAAAAAAAAAAAAAAAAAAAAAAAGCCCTAGAAAGGGAAATATGATGGGCTGGGAACACATCTCACCAAACAAATAAAATTCAACCACAAAACACCCAGGAAATGAAAAAGGAAGATTCCCCACATTTTGCTGTTTTTTGAAAAATATTTTAAATTAATGACAGAATAACTTGTTTAAAGATCCAGACTGCATAATAACAACCTAATTGTGGGGACTCAAGTGCAAGGTGACCAGCAGGACCAGCAGTTTTTTGGCTCTACCTCTTCTTATCTATCTGGTAACACATTGTGTTCCTCCTGTTTGTAAAAATTAAACAACTGAGAAATGGTTTAGTCTTCTACAAAACGCAGTTTATTTCTTGTGCCTAGTTTATAAAAACTTAGGCATGTGTGATATGCAAGGCTTTAAGGAAAAAAGAAAGCATATTACCCAAAATTAGAGTAATTGCCACATTATTAGCTGTTCAGTTAGTTTTGCAACATTTTGTATGCATTGTCAAGTTTCACATTGCTAATTTCCTAACAAGCACAGTTTGTTTTCAGATGCCCCAAGGCCAGTTTACTAAGACCAAACACAAGCTCTTAAAGCTAAAAAAAAATTAAAAAACAAAACAAAAATTTTTTAAAAATCCCGTGAACCGAGAAATTTTAAATATACAACACAACCACAATTCCAGGGAAAATTGTCCATCAGCTGATTTAAGGGTATTTTTGAAGTATAACAAAACAAAGCCCCGGTTCTGGAGTATTTTTAACTCGCTGCCAATTTGTGCAATACATTTTTAATTGTGATGTGTAATGCTTTGCAAGAGAACACCCAATCAATTAATCATGAGTGCCTTCTCATGGCTGCTCGGTGGGTTCTCCTGGCCGACGTTTATCTAACATGTTGTGAACACTCTGAAGCATTTCAATGAGCTCCCTTTGAAACGCACAGGGCACGCACTATTCTTTAGAAATTCCAGCCAATTCCAGCTGGGTGTATAGTGCCCAGGTTCACATGTAGAGGGGCTTAAGCTAAGATACCCAGTGCTCTTTCTGGGAGTTGAGACAGGCTGGAGAAAGTCTTAATGAATGCATGTATGCATATGTATGGGTAAATATGTGTACCACAAAACTGAACATATAGTTCACTCCTTTTAGAGGTGATACCCTCACCACCAAATGAAGCTTTCTTACAGTGCCAAAACATTCCCATCCATATTACAGTTAGAAAAAATATTGGAAATAATTTTACATTAAAATATACTTGGAGATACCTGGTGAAAAGCTGAACTATTTTAAAGAGGGCTAATTATCAATTTGGAAAAAGGGCTAAAATATTTATTTGAAATGTGATACCAGTCTCGTTCTTCTAGTGAGGCTTTATAAGTGTTTAATGTTTTAGAGGATTTATCAAACACTTACATACTTTATCTATAAACCTAGAAACCAGTAAGACTTGTAATTACATACCCCTCAAAGGGGTTTTTTTCTATTATATAAAAAGACACGTGGTCTTTGGTCAATTTTTTACATTAGCAACACCCAAAAGCTTTAATTAGAGCAGTAACTTGATGCATTCTGAAAATCAAAATGTTACAATGAAATTACTCAGTTTGTAAATTAGACTGGGAAAGCACAACTTTGTATCAGAATCATCTGGAAAACTCTTGATTTCAAAAACCTACACATATATGAATGTTTTAAAATTATATTCCATTTATACTGATTTCCAAATCATTTATGTAAATGAAATAATGGCAATATTCCTTTTAGAGGCATCTTTTAAAAACATTTCTACACATTACTTAAAATTTTGTCTTACTACAAATGTTTCTCCTAGGAAAGCCAACACTCCTAGGAGCAATATTTAAAATACTAAAGCTCACATTTGGATTTGCTAGACTAATAAAAAACTTCTCCTTTTCTTTTGAAGAGTGACATATAAACTATTTTAACATGAATCTGAGGAATGCTTTTACTGTATAAAGAAAAAAAAATCAACATTTTAAGCACATTACCTTGCAGAATGGCTTTGAAAGATTTTTAATACTTAACCTGTAAAGCATTTTTTACTAATTCCTGGATTTCTTGACAGAACATGCTGCTTTTTTTCCAGCCCATAAAGTAAAAAAAAAAAACCAAAAAACCCCCAACCAATTTTGAATTTACAGTTGAAAAAGTACCTCAAACAAATGTTGAAAAAACTTTAAACAAAACAGGCATGAAACCATAGTCACCTTTTAATGATTTAATATTTATCAGTAGTTGCTATAGTAATTTATAACACTGAAAACCATCAAACTTAATATGGTCAGTACCATAGGCTTACAGAAAAATAAACCACAATTAGATGAGGACACAAATACCTTCCACACGTTTTGTCACTCAACTCCTTAAAAGATACTGATACACTTGAGCACTACAGTTCATTCCCAGATTTTGTAAGCTTTAGTGATTTAGTACCTGTAAACTAGTGCTAACTGCTTGCAACCAACAACATAAACAAATCTCCTAGATTTGTTTTCAAGCCCATACACAACAATTTGCCCTCACTAAAATATTTCCTACAGAAGGGTATGCATTATTTGCCTTGATAACACAGCTTTCTAATGGGGTGCTTTCCCCAGTTCAAATAAAATTTAGTCAAATTTTCATGTTGTATTTGTGATGTAAAGTCCATGCACTAAAGGCAGTGACTTCAGGGAGCTTCTCCTGTAGCTGGAGGCAATCAGAACCACCAGAATAAAGTTTGGTCCCATCACCAAGCAGAAACAGTCGTTCAGAAGACTAAAAGCACTTCCAGTAAAAGTCTCTTTGAAACTGATTACTAAACAAGATATAACAGGCTTTTACTGTAACTGGAAGTTTACTTTACCATCACATTTTAAAGCTGTAAATTTCAATATATGCACTTATTTCCATCAGCACATAATTGGATTTACTCCTAATTAACTTATGTTTGACAAAGCACTTAGCTTTAATATACAGATTTGGTCTGTAGTAGTAACAACTGTAAGTGGGCAAGAAATTAATCTTCCCCTTACAAAAATCTTAATGAAGAAAATAATACCCTTAACAATGACTTCCTTACTAGATACAGGACATTTCATGGTTTCTCGTGAAATACATTGTTATTTCACTAAACTCTAGACTACTGAAAAAGATGCCCTTACAGGTTCTGTACTTAGGGTCTTGATGTTAATTCTAATTTTAAAAATGTGAAATTCATGCTTTATGTAGCTTCCATTATTAAAAGAGTTCCAATCCCACACTTCACAGCCTAGATTATTGGATTTTTTGCTACCAGTTGATTAAAAAAAAACCAGCATTAGTAATTTTTTATCTTTAATAATCTCACCTTCTGAGCTGCTTTAGAGGGACTCTTGTTTTTGCTTCCTTTGGGTCTTCCTCTTGGTCTTTTAGGAGATGGTTCACCAGTTGGCTCCTAAATACAGGAAAACATGCTATTGTGGCAAGAGGCTACAACTAACCCAGATGTTCTAAAGGATAAACTAAACTGAGAAGTTGCTTAAAACATATGAATTAACAGTGTCCTTAAATAATATCATATTAATAATGCAACATAAAAAAATTTAGCAACTCCAGGTAAAGGAAAAAAATAATTTTGCACATTAAATGAGTTTAACTTCTCTTGCAATTGCATAGAAAAACTTGCAAAAGTGTGAATATTCTAACATGTAAGTTATAGCAGGAAACATATTTTTAAAGATGGCTATGATTTCCCTCATATAAGAGCAATTATTTAAAAAATAACACAGTTACCCATTTAATTTCAATTGCATTGCATTATAGCAAGATACAATTATCCAATGTAGTTTCTAGCACAAGCTTTTTGGGGGAAAAAAGTTTACTACCAGAATATTGTAAAGTAAGATGAGACTACTTCTCTCTCAAGGGGGCAATTTTTTTTTTTCTTCTGCAGTCGGCATTATATTCACACCTATTCTAAAGAAAATTGATTCGTATTAACATGCAAATTTAAACGTTTCTTCAAATAGAACACTTGTAAGCCAAAAAAACTCGACGAAAGAAAAATCTGAAACAAAACCCCAACTCGAAAATGTGTCGACACTGATTATTTTAGCTATTTTCTTAACTAGTTCCTTTGCCTGCCAGTAAATAACCAGTCCTTAAAATTGGGTATGAATTACTGAGAATTCAGATTCCAAATATTTATTCAGTGAATCATAAACACTATAAAACTCTTCTAGTCTTGAATATTATACATTTCATTCATATTACAGGATGCGGTAGAACTAATTAAGCGCAGTTTGTTAACTTAAACCAGTTTAAAGCCCTTCAGCTTTCATAATTCCCGGGTAGGTTAAAGGGAGGCCGGCGAGGGGACTCCCCAAGTGCTGCAGCTCAGTGGCGAGCCTCGCAGGCACTGCACATCTGGGCTGAGCACGTTGAAGGAGACGCGCTTTTCTTTCACTTCCACACATTCAAATGCTACCGGAGGAGAAAAAAAAATAGGGGAAAAAAAGAAAAAGAAAAAGAAAAAGAAAAAGAAAAAGAAAAAAGGAAGCCCGAGCACAAGCCAGCAGGGTCGGTGGGGGCTGGCTGCCAGGGCTGCTCGAGGGCACTCAGGGGGTGAAGCAGAAGGGGTACAGAGCCCGCAGTCACCGGACCGATGGAGTGAGTGTCACCAAGGGCAGCGCGAGGTAACGGGGGGCTCTGCTTTTATGGCTTCCCAAAATACAGTACTTTCTGTGAAATTTACAGGACCATATCGGGGCGGGGGAGGAGAAGGAAGCAAAGCAGCCGGGTTTCCCCCGGCTCGGGGCTCTGCTGCTCAGCTCTCTCCATGTTTCGAGCCCCTCGAAGGCTCTCGTGGCAGTGGGGCTGATGCCAAATGAATGGGAAGTAAACACGTTTAAAGCCCGCGGACGCTCGCTCTAAAATGAGCTCCACGGCCAGCCCTGCTTCTCAATCGTGACTTCCGAGGGAGGCAGGGAAAAGGCTGCGGGCGGCTCCGCGCTGCCCCCGCCGAGCTGCGGGATTAATTGGTTGCATCCGCAGGCAAAATCCTCCTTCGGCGGCGCCGGCGGAGGGGCTGCAGAGCGCGGGGGCTCCCCCCGGGCCCCTCGCCCGGCGGTAGGGGCTGAGCGCGGCTGGGCAACTCCCGGCGATGCGACAATGGCACTTCGGGAAAGGAAGGGAAGGGGGCTGGGGGTGGGAATAACACACTGATCTAGCAACGTTAGCGCGAATTCAGATCTTGCAAGTCAAAAAGGGGAGCCCAGCGCGCCCCTCTCGGGGCCCAGGTGGAGGCTGGGGGTGTGGGTGGAAAGGAGCACAGGGCTACGCTCCCCGCATCCAGACACGGCGGCGTTCCCGTCGTCTCGACCTGCTTTGGGAAAGCGCCGGAGCAAAGGGGAAAGGTGTTGCAAACACAGGGCAAGCCCCCTCCGGCTACCTCCCCCACCTCCATCGGCAACGGGGGCACCTCTCTCCACACGATGAGGGGGGCGAGGGGG